CCTTTCAGATAACACTTTCACGAACTCTGACACATTTTCAGGCAACTCTTTGTAAGGTGGGCATCCTGTTATCAAGTCCACTGGCAACCGAAGTTCCCGACCAAACATCAACTTTGCTGGAGTGTATCCAGTGGCTTCATGCTTTGCTGTTCTATAGGCCATCAACAGTAGAGGGAGTAAGACATCTCAGTCATCTTGGCGACTATTACAAAACTTTGCCAATTCCTGTCCCAGTGTCCAGTTGTACTTTTCTACCATCAGAATGTGGATGAAGTGGCGTTGTTCTGGTCTGTCGTATGCCAAACAACTTGCAACATTCATGGAACACAGCTGATTCAAAGTTCGTATGGCATACCAAACCTAAAGAAGAAATCACTAATAGCCGAAGCTACAGTTGTAGCTTCCTGATTTGGTATTGCATATGCTTCAGGCCACTTGGTGAAATAATCCATCACCACACAAATGTACTTGGTTCCAGCATGAGTTCTTGGCAAAGGACCAGCAGTGTCTATGGCTACTCATTCCATTGGTGAACCAACTTGATATAACTTCATTGGAGCACGTCCCTTATCCTTGGGTCTCCTTTTAGCACAACATGTACTGCAGTTTCTGCACCATTCCTCCACATCTTGCCTCATACCTATCCAGTAAAATCTCTGCCATAGGTGACTCAATGTCTTCTTAACTCCAAGATGTCCTCCTGTTAAACTATCATTGGATTGACTCAGCATAACTTTCTCTGTATGACTGTTTGCCAGGTCGTCTCTTTCGCATCCCCGGAAAAGAATACCATCTTCAACTGGTCCCATTGTGCCCAATAGTTGTTTGTCACGGGGCTTAAGCTAGACACCTTCTCCCAAGCAGGGTGCAAAACACTAGCTTGTAGAAAATCAATTATTGGCTTCAAATCTTGGTCTTTCTCCTGTTCTGCTTTAATATCTATACGTGGTTCCACTTCACCATCAACTCCTTCAGTCACTTTGACTTCAGCTTGATGACACCTGGTTAGTTCAACCTCTCTTTTGCAGCGATGTCTGCAGTCATTTTGCAGGGTCTTTGGCTCAGTCTGTCAGCATTTCCATGAGATTTTCCTTCTCTGTATTCAATATCATAGTTATACTGGTCTATCTTTCCGATCCAACGTGCCAGTTGTCCCTCTGGGTTCTTTAATGATCTTAACCAGTGTAATGCAGCATGGTCTGTCCAGATGGTAAACCTGGCGCTATAGAGGGATGAATGGAAATATGTCAGACTCTTTATTATAGCAAGGAGTTCCCTCCATGTTACACAGTAATTTCTCTCTGGTCTACTCAGGACATTACTGAAGTAGACCACCACATGTTCGTTTTTGCCCACTTTCTGAGACAACACTCCTCCAATTTTTATTGTCTGTTTATTCCTCTAATAGAAGTGTATATTTCACAGCCTAGTAAGTGCGAAATTTGAAAAATGGCATATATATAAATAACAATTATCATATACCACCAGGTGATACGAATGTAACTTATACCACACATATCGAAACAAACTTACTGATATTATTTTCTTAGTGCAAAGCTACATAATGGGCTATCTGCATTCTGCCCACCATGGATATTTGACTTGCAAGTCCATAACTAACAATGAACAGGTGATTAACTATTTGCACTTCTAGCTGCCTTGCTTCGACAAGTACATAAAACTTTTAATTTATACCAGTCTCCAACTGTTTGATATTTTAAGTGTATCCGTGAAAAATGCGAGTATGTGTCGATTTACCGTACACAGTAGCTGCTATATAAACAAATTCAAGGTAATAATTAAACTTATTTTGATTGGATATCTGTAGCATTACGTGGCTAATTTATAAATATACTCGGTTATGTACAAACACAAAATAAAGTAGTACTGAGTTTTAAGGTTTAACAAATCTATTTTTATTAAAACGTGCCACTAAACAAATGTTCTTTTGTTCGAGTCTGATTACCAAATCTACATTGTTTTCATACATATAATATACTAAGTTACAGCTTCTTTACTTAAAGAACTGAGATGTACTAAATTTAAAACTAACCTATAACTGTATCTGATATCATAACGTGGAGTTAAGCTTTTTTTTTAAAAAAGGATTGTACAAGAATGCCGAAATTATATGATAATAATTACAACCTCGGAACATTGAAACCTTTATAACAGTAACAACAGTTTATTAAATGTGGTTGTTTATTAAAGCTATCATTTCACAAACACAACCATCTGAATTTGTGTACATATTTACATACAACAAAGATTGGCACCACTGTGTTTCTCTTTGTTTTATACAAGGATCTACTCAATTGCCATCTATAAAGTTTTTATTAAAGAGAGCTAAATGGTAATACTTAACAATAAACAAGCAATAACTCATTATATTCATTTTAAAATCTGCAGCTTTAAATGGTGTCAACAATGCCAATCCCCATTTGAACCTTAAAAACTATAGAAAAACATGTTTTCCTTTGCTTTTGGCAACAATAATTTTTTTAGAACAATAATGACTTTCAGTTTTAAAATAATTTTAAGTCAATACTGTTCACTTGTATTATTATACAGATTGTACAGTTACATGTGAAACTGTATTTGTAAGAACTGATTAAATTACAAACACATTTAAAATTTGTTTGCTTATTCGCAACAGAAATATGTTTAGAATTATTTTATTACAACACTTGTAGTGTCTTACACTAATAACAATATTAATAGCATGATTGTATTTAAAAACGGACACATTGAGATAATATTAACAATGGATTATTCTAATAACCCTATTAAATTAGAATTCTCCTTTATGTAATAAACTGTGAACAATTCTTATAGCTTTTCACCTTAACCTGTCACATTATTTGTTTCTGTAAATTGTTGTTAGTTAAACATGGATCTTATGCTATAAGTCCTAGTTTCATCTACGTATTATTTGGTCTCTTTCACCCCTAAAGTTACCTATACAAACCCTGGTCTGTGGAATTTAAACTCGTCCATATACCCTTTGTCCCTATAGAGCGCTTCGTTTCTGAAGGCTTCAGTGATTTACAATTTCTTTAACTTCTGGATCACGGCATGATAGTCTCTCAATCTTAAGATGAGTCGATAGCTGCCCTGTATTCTTGGTGTTCTAAATGATAAATCTTAGACTGATGTACATAGAACCGTACAGTTATCTACAAAGTTCCTAGTACAGCCCCTGTAGTCTGGTGCCCATGATGACTTGTGCAGCCTTTAGTCTCTGGATAACAGGATACCGTACGTAACCTCTGTATAATTAACTCAAGGCTGAAGTATTTCTTGAGGACAATACAGGTTATTTTCTCTGTATTCTAGATCATACTTAAACTGCTAAACAAACACGATTTGAATCCTAGGATTACTCTCACGGCATCCATCCTACAACATTCCTGATCCCAATTTCACTTACGGTACTTTGTCTTTTATTACAAACTTTGAAGTAACCTACACTGATCAGTTTATATGTTTTTATCCTAAGGTAATGTACATAGCTTTATACTCTCTAGATTGATAAGCTAGCCTCATATTTATTCTGAATGCCGTGATGGCTTAAAAGCTGCCCTTGTGGTATTGGTCCTGCAATGATCTACACAACCCCTATTTTTGGGAATACAAAGTGATCGACACACACACACAAGCCGGTTTCTGAATGCTACAAAGTGTCAGTGTTTGTAAACATTACACGACTTACACTAGTGGTTATCAAGCTTTTTATCCTTGGGGACCCCTTCATAAACCAAAGACAATTTCATGGATCCATCTACTCAGATAAGACTTGGTGAAGAAGCTGATTCTACAGTGTACAAAAACATTACTGATGTAAATATATCAGTTAATGAAACTTTCGACAAAAACATCATCTTCATTTTTTTTGTAACTATAATAGGTAAACTTGATCTTTATCGTTACAGACTCCCCTTTAGAATTTCAGGATCCCATATTCTTGACCTTACATTTCTTAATCTTTGCATTCTGCAATTACTTTTAACTACTCTTGTAGCTGATATGACTGACTGTATTCCACACTTTGAACCTAATTTTCCTGGACAAAATAGCAACAAAGTCTGAGAAATTACCCAACTGTTTGATAGATGTATAAGTAGAACTTATCTTACTGGTTTATAAATATCACCAAAAAACAGGTGGAAAAGTGGCATCATCAACCTAAGTGTACATCTAACATCAATGTTGACACCGTTTTTTTTTTGTATATATAATGTATATTACTACAACACCTTCCTTATTTTGATCATGAGCTGAATGTATCTCTCGGCTCTTTGAGAAAATGTGTAAATAAGATTCAAGACATATGTAGTGTGAAATAAACCACAACAAACTAGCTCAACATACAAAATCATCATTATATTGGTGGAAAAAGAAATTCCACCACAACTAAAGAAGTACTTTGTATTGTATCAAAGGCACTACTACTACTACTGATACTAAAAAACTATTTTATATATAGCTAGTGAACCACAGTTGATACTACATCTACTGGTTGTAACTATGTTACAGAGTATGGTTATATTTCTTTTCAAAGTTATCATACACGCTTGTTTAGCACCTACAAAACTTCAAAATAGCTTATTATTATCATATTGACCACTTACAGTAACGACAGTTAAGTCCAGTTTGTTACTTTTTTTTTGACAAAGCACATTGGTGATTCTTTAGAGAAAAATCCACTGACAATTTCAAATTTATGTATCACTCAGCTTCACTGTCATCATTCTCACTAACAGAGGGCTGTCCAAAATTTTTTGTAATACTACTAGTTAAAGAATGGATATTTTCAACACTTGCATCATCCAAGTAATCTGGATCCAAATCACTTATTGGATCCAGATGAAAAAAATCGTCATCACTGATTAGCCCTGGCCGGTAGTTGTCATATTCTGAGTCATACACAATGTTTAAAGAATCAATACTTAATAGTTGGTCACTGTCAAACATACGACTACTTGCTCGTGAGGATATACTGGTATCGTCCATGTCTCCATCATGTCCTGGATCATTAAAAATTGAATTCAAATCACTAAGAGCGCCTTCTGCATCAGTCAAACCCTGTTCATTCATGAGAGAGACATTTTCCAGAGCTGGATCATCTGTATAATATTCCTGCTCATCTATCAGAGGAGCCTCAGCCAAATTCTCAGAATCATAATCATCTTCATCACTATCATCTGAAGCTGTTTCCTGCCGTTTGAAAGGAATATTTCTGTTTGCTTGTCTACTGCCTAAGCTAGATGTAGCAGTTGTCTCAACATACTCTGGTTCACTATGTTTTTTCTTGTTTTCCAGATTATCTTCTTGCTGCAAGTTGAAGTGTTTCAAGCCTTTAGATGAAGATGGAATACTTAATGTCATCTTTTTTTCAACAGGATCAAAATGAAGACCAATTAGAGTCTTCCTTTCAGGCAATGCAATATCACTGGAAGGCTGCTTACATTTTTCTTTTTCTAATTTTTTTGTCATTGAGTTATTATTAAGTTTATCTTTCATATGTTGTTCACCTGAGGCTCTCTTCCTTTCTTCATGAGAAAGACTAGTTTCACTGCATTCTGTAAGAACTTGGTTCCCATTTTGAAGCTCTCGAAGAGGTATGTTAACCGAATCTGGAATCTTACATTTGCTCTTAGCAGAGGCGTCTTGAAATTTTGAGCTGTCGTTTGTTTTCTCAACTCTGTGTTCTAATGGTTTTTTCTGGTTCTTCTCATGGATTAGTTCTTGTTTCAAAGCCTTAGAGCACAGCTTCTGAGAAAGTTTCAATCCTGCATATTTTATTGGCAAATCTGTTTGTGTACCTACAGAATCATGCTTTGCTGAAGACATTCTACATGATGCTACTTCTTCAGGAATATTTTTACTTTTTATAGCTTCTTTTACAGGACTGTTCTTCCTCACAAATTTAGCTGGGATCATGTCTGTTAATGCAACAAACTTTTCAGGAGATATATTTGGTGATAGATTAGCATTTTTTGCTTGATCATTGTTCAAACAATTTTCCATGTCTCGTATTGTATCAGCACTATTTATTGATTCAGTTGTACCAGAAGGTGGAAATACTTCAAAAACTTTACTTGAATCACCTCTCCTAATATTTGGATTTTTCAGAATAGGTTGATGGGATGGTGACTGTCCAACTTCAGGAAGACTTTTTTCTCTCTTTGATGGAATACTCTCTCTTGAAGAGAGGATACTAGGCCTGGGCAACTTTGAGGACTGACTAGATGTGTTTTCAATATTGAAAGCTTTCAAGGGATATACCCTTGACATGTTGGAGAAAGGATAATCACAGAAAGCAGGATATGATGGGTCTATATCTACTTGGGTGAAACTGTCACATGAAGTTGATGAAGAACGATTTAGTGAAGATGTTTCCACTGACGAAGGCTGAGCAGAAGACTGGTCTGTTTCAATAAGACTATCTGCACTATGGTTTAGTCTACTTAGAGTGGATGACTTGACACTAAATAATGGTGCAGCTTCAGTTTCTCTATTTAGGAACTCTTCTTCTTCTCCAGGAGAAAGTAGAGGCGGTGGAGGGAACACAAGGGTTTCCTGAGGAGATATGGAAGATTTTGATGGTCTTAAGTTTGAAAAACTTTTTGTTGGAGAGCTACACAGTGTCTCTGGTATGCTACAAGAAGGTGGAGGTACACTAGACCCTAGTTGTCTGAGGCTATCCCATGGGTCACCCTTTTTTAATGATGCATGCTTCTGGGAACTTCGGATCGAATCTCGTGATTCAGAGTGGGATGGTCGAGGTCGAGACTGAGAATATGATTTATTACCAATGATGGGTTTAGGTTGCGTATATGGAGGAGTAGATTCGTGAGAATTCGATTCAGGAAGTTCTTCCATTAACCAGCTGTCACAACGTGGTCTTGGATTATGAAGTAACTCCACATCCTGTGCTACCATTTGCTGTGTTGCCCTTGTTTGTGGAGTGCTGGAACCACCAGTGGCTCGGGAACTAACAATTTCTGCAGCCTGACGAAGGCTTTGGGCTACTAAACTGAGAGGAGTAGGCACTCCTCCAGGAATACAATTACTTAAACCAGTCATGGGAAGATCTGAAAACCCCCGACCTTCACGGCTGGAAATCACATTCTTTGTCTGCTTCCTGTCTGTTAGGAAGTAGGTGGTCATTTCTCCCTTTCCCTTCACATTCACTCGTCCACGGCACTGAAAGGCATAAGGATAGTTCTTCAGGAGTTGAAATACTTCTTCTGTAACCTGGAACAATGAAAGAAATAGGTCACAATAAATCATTTATAACAAGTTGGTTGTGTTACTTTTATTAATATAACCATTTGTCTTCATAACTACCCATAACCCTATTATACATTATCTGTCTATTAGCTTCGATGCTCACTGATCATTATGCCTTTGATATTTGACAACATACTAAGAAAAACATGACAATAGAGAGGTTAGACTGTGATGTATAATTAACAACTGGTGCTTGCCTGTGTGTGGTTTGGGAGTCCTGTACTATCCATCTGACTGGCTACATTCACAGTGTTGCCCCATATATCATACTGTGGTTTCCTAGCACCAATCACCCCAGCTACTACTGGTCCTACGTTTATACCTGAAAAACATGGATAAGGTGCAAAATGGTGAAATCTACAAAAAAACACTAACACTGGCTTATATATAAATCTGTTTTATAAGTGACATACTCTCAAATCTATACTTTTTTCAGCTGTTTTTTTAATAATAATATCTTGTATATAATGGAAGAAACTTAAGGTCCTATGTTGCGGCTATGCGTTGATTTTGTGTAATTTAGATGTTACATAATAGGTTTCTCAACTTCACTTTCCAAAGTTTGACCCACAAAGATAACACTATTTTGTTAGGGCACTTGACTTGAAATCTGCTAGTCTCAGGATTGAAACTTATTACTAAACATATTCAGCCCTGAGGACATTATAATGTGCTAGTCAATCCCACTATTCAATAGTACAGAGTATCCCATGAGTTGTTGGTGGGTGGTGTTGACTAGCTACCTCTATTCTATCCCTCCAAAATTAGAGTTGAATAGTGCATGATATTTAACAAACAATTTTTTTTTGCTTGGTAATATTTGGATTATTAAGTTATCTTAGATGCAAGCAGCAATAAAATAAAATGTTTTAATAGTTGTAAAGTTTAATATAGCAACTATATGAACAGAATCTAAATGTTGGATCAAAGGTTAAAGTGACACTGAATGGAATTATATTAACAGAGTGACTTACCTACACGTAGCTTGAAACTATTATATGAATTATGGTTGATGTCTGCTAATCTCTCTTTCATAGAAAAGACCAGCTCAACCAGAGTAGATAATGGCTCAGCAGTTACAACTTGGTTGACTTCCTAGAAGAACAGAAACATTACCATTTAGTTACGTCACCACAAGAATACAGAAACGTTATTATTTAGTTATGCCACCACAAGAATACAGAAACGTTATTATTTAGTTATGTCATCACAAGAATACAGAAACGTTATTATTTAGTTACGTCACCACAAGAATACAGAAACGTTATTATTTAGTTATGTCACCACAAGAATACAGAAACGTTGTTACTTAGTTACATCACCACAAGAATACAGAAACGTTATTATTTAGTTATGTCACCACAAGAATACAGAAACGTTGTTACTTAGTTATGCCATCACAAGAATACAGAAACGTTGTTACTTAGTTACATCACCACAAGAATACAGAAACGTTATTATTTAGTTATGTCACCACAAGAATATAGAAACGTTGTTACTTAGTTATGTCATCACAAGAATACAGAAACGTTATTATTTAGTTACGTCACCACAAGAATACAGAAACGTTATTATTTAGTTATGTCACCACAAGAATACAGAAACGTTGTTACTTAGTTATGCCACCACAAGAATACAGAAACGTTATTATTTAGTTATGTCACCACATGAATGCAGAAACGTTATTATTTAGTTATGTCACCACAAGAATACAGAAACGTTATTATTTAGTTATGTCATCACAAGAATACAGAAACGTTATTATTTAGTTATGTCATCACAAGAATACAGACTGCTAGAAGAAAATAAACAGAAACGTTATTATTTAGTTATGTCACCACAAGAATACAGAAACGTTATTATTTAGTTATGTCATCACAAGAATACAGAAACGTTATTATTTAGTAATGTCACCACAAGAATACAGAAACGTTATTATTTAGTTATGTCATCACAAGAATACAGACTGCGAGAAGAAAATAAACAGAAACGTTATTATTTAGTTGTGTCAACTCACTAATGCAGAAAAAACCAAGCTTGCTAAGAAATGTCCCCATTAATTGATATAAAATACAAATAATTATTACAAAAGAATGTTCTCCCAAAATTTAAATAAACTATGGTCACTGAGAAATGTCATAAACAACAGAGAAAACAAATAATGATTTAGGCAATTTTTTTTTTTGGATGAATAATAAACAATAGTATGAATGGTATTAATCTCTCATAAGAAATTAGAAAATAACTGGTTAGGATAATTTTTTTTTTTACATAAATACTAAAAACAATGATCACAAGGGAAAATTTTCACTATGGAAACAGAAAAATTAATATGGTAACAAGAAAAGGTGTTCATACATAAATAGAAAAAAGAATAAAT